GTAGAATTGCTGCGGGAAACTAACTTAAATTTTTTAAGGGAAGCCGGTTGTTTTTTTTTTCTCCTTTCTTGTTCATTTAAATATTTTACTGTCTTAAAATACGTTTCCATTCGTATTTTCATCATTACATTTGTCAAAAGCAAGACTTATAGTAAAAGACCCGAACACGTTAATCAGTTAAGCAATAGATGATACATGAATATTGAGGCAAAATTGATCAATCAAGAAAAATTTATTGGCTAATGTCACGGCTGATGCTGAATCTGGCTGATGCTGGATTTTGGGGTCTTAATTTGAATCCATTACACCTACTAAAACCCCATATACTCTTTTATTAACAATTCTAACCCTAAATTCTAGTCTAACTATTACAAAAAAGCTAAAAAAATACATCCCAAAAATTATAAAATGTTATATCAAAGTAGGTCCCAATATTCAGCATCAGCCAGATTCAGCATCAGCTGTGTCAATCTACTAAAACTATAAGTTAAGATATAATTATCAACTTAGTTCTGTATTTGAAAAGATTTATAAAACATAGGATAGAATTCTTGTCAATTTTAAAGAAAATGGGATTGGGATAAGGTTCTTATCAGGAGACTCATAGCAAGAATGAGTCAGAAACGAAGTCTTAGTCAGAAAATTCATAAAAAAAAGGCAAATAAAGAACGAAATTATCACCAGGAAATTCATAAAAAAAAGGCGAATAAAGAACGGAATTATCATCAGGAAATTCATTTAAAAAGAAGTCACGGACATAGTTCTCGCCAGGAGATTCATAGAGTTGGACAGTTGATAAATATTGAGTCGGATCAGAAAAAGCAACGGAACGTTCGTAGAAGTTTACAGCGTTAGAATAATTTCGATCGGGAACTGGATTGGTGGGAACAGGATCGATGACAGTCGACACAGAAGGTTGAGATAAGCAATCATATCTTATGGTAGAATTGGGAATATTATCTTTATTCGGCAATAATTTTAGAAGAGCCTCAAGATTTTCTGTACAAATATTATTGTAAATTTTAGTGCGAAAATGACCTAGAAAATAGTAGGCAGTTTGAATATTTGAACCACACCTTGTTCCACTTCCGCCTTGGTTCCATTACTTGTCTGAACATATATTCGGCCATTTTCCACAGTAAAATTAGCTCTAATAGGTTGGACTAATTAAAATATCAAATGTTAGGACATACACGAATTCATTAAAGAATTATGTAAATAAATTTCTACCGTCAATAACCACTTTACAGTTCTTGCACTCTTCGGAAAACGGAAGATTGTTTTTATAACATCCAATACATTGAACTAAACAATCTACTTTTTTGCTCGCGCATTTTTTACATTTATATTTTCCTAGAGTTCCTTCATCATGATAGCACTTCTTCCCTTGGCGACGACAAAGATCACATTTATAACCAATTGACATGCTGACTATACTTTTTGTGAAATCTTTTGCAAATTTTTCAAACTTTGGAATAAACGAGAATTTATCAGCGGCGCATTTATATACGCTTTCGCCCCGAAAAGTCTTTCGTGCTAAATGGAGTAGGCATCTTTTTTTGGATATTATTTATCTATAGGAGTGATATACAGGGTTGGCATTTTACTATATTTTTTTTCTATTGGCATATAATTCTATTCACTTTTTTTATTTATTATAAATTTTTACTATTCTATTATAAATTTTTATTATTCTATTATAAATTTTTACTATTCTATTATAAATTTTTACTATTAAACTTTATTAATTAAATATAAAATATTTTAAATTTATTACTTTACTAATGCTCTAACGATATATATTTAAATAATTATAAATTATCAATAAAAAAAATTTTTTTTTATATATAAAGACAAAAAAATTGAGCTTTTGTTTTGTTGCCAATTTTGTATATAAAAAATTTTTTTTGAATTCAATAGGTATTTTATATGTTAGATACATTTAAATTGACGCATTTTAGCAAGGGTAGGAATATGTCTAGTTTATTGTTAACTTACCTAATCGTTTATTTTTAATAAAGTTATAGATAGCAAAAAACGCCGTGTGCCTAAATCTTTCAACTATAGAACATTCTTCAGCAGAATAAAAGTTTCACGGCAGAATTGAAAAAAAGCCACCTAAATAAAAACTGGTACTTTTAGAAATATTAAAACTAAAGGAAGATAAAGGGCTGAATTCAAATTTATTAATGTTAACGCTGAAACACAAATTATGCGACGATTGATGTCGCGGAAAATTCACCGGTTATTCAGAACAAAATGCATATTTAAGGTTTAAAAACTTAACCGGCTCAGATTAATAATAAATTCAAAATGAAAACAATTAAATTCTACAATATCACACAGTTCAAATATTTGAATGAACAAGAAAGGAGAAAAAAAAAACAACCGGCTTCCCTTAAAAAATTTAAGTTAGTTTCCCGCAGCAATTCTAC